GGGGGGGGGGGGGGAGAGAGGCCGCAACAACGACAACGAGCAGGTTTGTCAGCAGCCTACGGGCGAGGAGAGAGAAGCACCCGCACGGGTAACGGAGTACGGTCGAGGCAGTGTCGCGCACAGCCATGTAGAAACAACGTCGGGTGGCTACTGTGTGTATACGCATTCAAATCTTCATAGGCCCTTTGGTAGATGCAAGTCCTGAAAGTAAGAATAACCCGGTGGAGGATTTCCATGCCCTCCCTGTCCCGGATACGTACGTAGCAGCGACCGACGGAGAGAATGGAGCGAAAAATAAACAAGCTACAAAAAAAAGGCACAAAAAAAAAAAAGTCGAAATCCAATGAGGTGCGCAAGACTCGGAAAGTTTGATCTCGCGCAATCAAACGAAGAAACGGGCAATGGTAGCAGAAAGCGAGTCGAGCCGGCACGTCTGACAGGGTCGGGTGGGGTTTCCAGTTGTGTGCATATCTCCCTCGAACAATGAAGGACTCGTGGAAAACGCAAACCTTGCCTACCGAACACACGAACAGCAAATAATTGCTTCAAAGCACACCGTGCGTGCGTCTTCACACGCGAGAAGCTTTGGGGTAAGCGACGCCAATCTCTCCCCGGCGGTAGCCCTCGCCTCTCTCTCTCTCTCCGCTCCGCTGAATCGTTCCCGCCAACGAAAGATTAACAATCTCGATATGATACAGCATCACGGCGTCATGTGCATCTCAAGTGCCTTGCTTGAAATTTTTAGTTCTCTCCCCGTGGGCGCAGGGTGTCACCATATCATCGTGCCGCACCAGCGCCTGCTGCATCAATGCCTTCCGGGAAGGTATACAACAATCACGTTCGGAATCGTCCCCCCCCCTGCTGTTTCTTGAATGAAAAAAGCCGACAATTACAGTATACGCCGACACCCAAATCTTCCCTGTAGATGCCATCGGTAGTACAGATGAAAAGTACAATACAGCAACATCAGTAGCTGGTGCAGCGGTAGTGGTTAGTCAGTTAGTCAGTCGGTCACCTCTAAGATCTCCTGGATGCCGACCCCCGTCTTCGCGGACGCCGAGATGGCCTCGGTGCAGTCCAGACCAATCGTCGCTTCCACCTGGTGGTGAATGTTGCCGTTCGTTAAGTAGTGTTGGAAAGCAAGTCTCAACCCCTCCCCGTTCCGTCCTCTCGAGGACGCGCGGTCAATGGTCTTAACCGCTAAGGCATGCAAAAACATGAGTACGCCTCCCCCTACGCAATATCCGGGTGAGGCTGAAGCCGTTCAATTGGCCAGCCGGCGGCAACAACGTCAACCAACAGCAACACGCACCTCCGGCCACCCGTCGGGAGTCCCGATTCTTTCGGTTCGTTGTCACGTCCCGCTGGTAGGCGGGCATCTTCTTCGTCAACAACAACAAACATGTGACAGACAGGCCTGTTGTACGTACATCAGCAGTTGAAGGGAGCCTTGTATAGGTTTTCAACAACTGGTCCCTTTCCAACCTCAGTCCACGACCCCGTGTACCTTTTTCTTCCCCTCTAGAAGCGCTCCTATGTATCACCCGACAAGACAAGAAAAGCGCGGCGCATCTCCCACCTCTTCGGCGACGCGGTCGGGGTCCGCGGCGGGCAGGTCTATCTTGTTGAGCACCGTGATAATCTCGAGGTCGTTCTCCAGGGCGAGGTAGACGTTGGCCAGGGTCTGCGCCTCCACCCCCTGAGACGCGTCCACCACGAGTAGGGCCCCCTCGCACGCCGCCAGCGACCGGGACACCTAGTGATTGTCGTGTTGTTGTTGTTGTTGTTGTTGTTGGTGTTGTTGTTGCTTTTGGGTACTGCGGTCAAGACGTCCCTGGTTTCTCCGAACACTAGTAACCTCCTCCCCCGTGATAATTGTTTCACCCAACCAGGGAACCAATCTCGTGGTGAGAGGGGGAAGCAATCCAACGGGCTTCACATTGTGGAACAACGTAAAAAAAAAACGGCCTGCCGCACTCACTTCGTAGGAGAAGTCGACGTGCCCAGGCGTGTCGATGAGGTTGAGGACGTACGTCTTTCCGTCTTCCGCGGGGTACTCTATCCTCGCAGCGTTGAGCTTGATGGTGATGCCCCTCTCCCGTTCCAGGTCCATGCTGTCCAGCAGCTGCTTCTTCATCTCCCGCTTCGCCACCGCGTCGCAGTACTCAAGCAACCTCATGGATGGGCAGCGCGCGAAGATTCGGTTTCATTTAGAAGGACACACAGGATGTGAGGGGGCGGGGGTGCATGGTGCGTTCCCCGCGCTGTTTCCAGCCGACAAGATGTCTCTTCCACGAGACACCGTATCAGGAGGGGGGTAGGGGGCACAGCAGATCGCACTTTGCGATTCTAATATAGCGGAACTGCTGTAGCAGGGATTGCAAAAGACCTAAACCAACTCACGGGCAGGAGAATGCACGAAAAACGGCTCCAATTCGAATGCGCGCAGTGTTGTGCTCGAAGGAGCCGGGAACACAGCAAATGTAATGTGTGTGGTCGGCTGTGTGGGTCTTCACTGGCGTCGACCACGCCACGAACCGGCGGAATTGGCGAAAATACAGCGGTCGCGATGTTTGTGACTAACGTAGGTGTCGCCTTGACCAAGTGATGCGCTGAACACAACGTACTGCTATCATACGGCGGCGTGCGTGTACTCTGTAGTGCAAGCCGTTTTCTTGCCGCAGTTTTTGGTGGTCGTATGCATACACACAGTCTATTTCAAGTGCGTATGTAGCTCACCACGAACATTTTCGCTATAACCAGACCGGAGTTTATCAGCAGACACAATTGCGAGGGTTAACCACTCCCCGATGTATAGACAACAGCAGTAGCACGGCCGCAGACAAGCGGGTCTGCGTGTCGGGGTCGATGTCGGGAAGACTCCAGGCCGCGCAAGTCAAATAGCAGCAACTTTTCCAGTCCGTGCTACTGAGTGACGTTGCCGCTGCGGCAGTACTACTGCTTCCTTTTCCATCTTGGGAGCTGAGTAGCGAAACTCAGTACAGCAGTTGGACACTCCAAGCGCTCTCTCAATCGAGTTCGAGTTACTCCTACATATGGTACCTTACAAGCACGATATGTATCTAATGAGAGCGATGATGCACGAGATACAGGGATAATTCAAATTTGAACCGCGTTGTTACAAACACTGCTGTTGTCAGCAGCAGCGGTGGGTATGTAGTACGAGGGTCCCGGACGGGGGGGGCCTCAACCCCCCTCCGTCCTCCGACGAAGGTTGGGGATGATGTCAATAAGGTTGATGTGGAGACAAAATACCAAGGGCGAAGGCGTGTGAAGGTTGTGGCAGTTATGGTGGAAGTTGGGACGCGTTGCACGTGCCGCTGTTGATGTCGATAAAAGTGGATGGTGAGGAGTGATGATGAGCACAGCTGCTGATGCTGTCTGCCGCATTGGCTGTGATATAACTAATTGTATTCTGAGGTGCTGACTTCTCTGAACTTTCCCACTGCAGGTCCTTCTCACCACGAACACCACCAACTTCCGCGCCTTGTATACACACAACGCTCCGGCAAACTGTGTGCAACCTTCTCTATGGACACCCAGCGCTACACACACTACGCTCCGGCAAACGCGTGCAACCTATTCAATGCACACCCTGCGCACAACAGGTGCAAGTTTATGTCCGAAGAAGGCATTGTTGCCCCCCCCCAAAGTACAGTCACACCCATAACCCAATCCACCCTTCCACCGTAGAACGTACAGCGACGAAATGCTGAGTGAAACTACGACAGGGCTGAGCCGTCATCCTTTGACTTCTCCGACGCAATATCATTCTCATGNTTCAATGCACACCCTGCGCACAACAGGTGCAAGTTTATGTCCGAAGAAGGCATTGTTGCCCCCCCCCAAAGTACAGTCACACCCATAACCCAATCCACCCTTCCACCGTAGAACGTACAGCGACGAAATGCTGAGTGAAACTACGACAGGGCTGAGCCGTCATCCTTTGACTTCTCCGACGCAATATCATTCTCATGCTCAATACAAAAATCACAACATTGCTGTTCAAAGAGAAAATCGAATTGCTCGTATTCTTGTAATAGTTGCTGAAGGTCATCCTTAGAGAACGCTCTGAATGTTTTCAGGTTCGGCGATTAAAGACTTCCCAAAAGCCTGGTCGGTGTTATTTGATGAAGCCGCATGAAAATTGTCGAGGTCGCCGTGGGACTGACAATCCTGGTGTTGTAGCTCCGTTGTAGACGCGCACTCAGGTGCTTTTGTGATGGACTTCGATGTGTTAGAGTCCGCCATGGTGGTTCTGATTCTGGGAAGAAGGTGTAAGAGACTTATTGCTTTATTTTCTCGACTATGGAGGCAACTATACGTGCAACAATATCATACGTGCAACAACAACATCACAAACATCAGCAACAGATAACAGCCGCGCAGATAGTTATTTGCTTCCGTAGAAGTCTTAATGCGCTCAGTGGAACTCATCACCTAGAGCAGTGACGTGCACGACCACAGCGTGCGCGCGCGCGAGCATGTAACCGTATTTTCCGAGATCGGGCCGACTTCTTATTGTTTCGCTGAGATCCACCGCTTGTTTTCTGCTGTTGCCTTAGCCACATAGTATGTGACAACAGATAAATAAGAAAGAGAGCGCCATGACTACAACAAACCTTTAACGTCACACAAACCGATCATGCATATAGCATGAAGATACCTTGGACTATAGAGAGCGATGCACTGAGGTACCGCTCGGTAAAACTGCCGCCAAAATAATGATTGATTGGATTGAGAACTCCATTCTGTTACGCAGACGTTTACGACAACGCTCTGTGGTTGGCCAGCTAAGTGGCTCCGCGCGTCGCGCAGCGGAAAGAGCTGAAAATTTGGTGGGAGATCACGGAGATGTAGCACTCAGCTCACCCCAGCGACTGCGCAACACCTCGCCGACATAGCGCAGCGCGCGGATGTTTGTCGCTATGAGCAGGGGCGCGTTGAGCAAAAAAGTTGGAGCTAAAAGCGCCCCAGAAAGGCGCGAAGCCTGCGAAAAGCGTCTCTAGGCGCACGGAGAGCAGCATTTTGAAATGCTGGTACCACAGCGACCTAGATCTGAAGAACCAAGTGTAATTTTCCCTAGTGCTATCTCCGTCTGACGTTTAAAAACATCTCATGTCGCAGGTGGTAGTTACCATGCTTGTCTGTATAGGTTTTGTTGTTTTTGTTTGTTTTTCTCCCATCATTGGACTCTGTCGTCTGCCCCTCTGGCCCCTATCCTCCACTTCTACTAGCTAGACGACCCAACCGGGGTCACATAGGAGGGGGGGGTTGGACCCCCTCCTGCGGTTCATGCCTGAGGTATTTTTATCGCGAGAAGGGTACAGCAATCCCTTCCCTCGGGACTTTATTAGAATAAGAAGTCGATTATGGTTTACTAACAAACGAGCTTTGCAGCGCGTCGCGCTCATCCTAGACCAGGATTTATTTAGTGAGAAAAAAACTCTCTCTGCCGGGACTCGAACCCATGACCTGGCCCTTAGCAGGCTGCGAGGCTACCCACTAGACCACCGGGGCGACCGGTGTGTGTTGGGGTGTATTTTTCACACCGGACACCCCGCTTCGTAAAACGAAGGTAACGGTGACCGACGTTCGGAAACATGCAAAAAAACATGTCATCGTGCGTGTCGTGTGAACTGCTGAAACCGAACGTACTTACAGCAGCAACATACATATGGTAGTGATATTCAATGCCAGCAAACGCAACTACGCGTGCACCCAGCAGTACCTGTCCGCCAGCGTACTCTTGCCGTGGTCGATGTGCGCCACGATCGAGAAATTTCGGATGAGCGAGACGTCGGTCTCTGTCTCCTCCCTGCTTGCCGCTGCCTTAGCCAGCATCCTCACCAGGTCACCACGACGCTGCTGCTGACGCCGACGGGCATCGCCGCTACCTCCGAGCGTTAGCCCTGAACATCTTGGTTGCAACGACGGCGCCAACCGGGCAGGATCATAGCTGGTGCTGGTGCTGGTGGTGGTGCTTCTGCTGCTACTGCTTGCTTCGGCCGTGCTTACCCCACCCACTGTTGATGCACCCCGTGTTTTACAGGCGGCTCTTGGGATCAAGAAAGCAGACGCTCCCGGTGCCGCTACCGCTGCTGCTGCTACTGCTACCAAACCCCATGATCGTGACCTCCTCATACAGCAGGGACCTCGCCTGTATCTGCCCGGATTCCCCTCTCCCTCCATGACACCTGTGGGGTACACGTGGTGCGTCCGAGCAGCACCCACCTCACCAACATCAGCCATGGGGGGCACACAGCCGAGGCTTACCTTAAAATAGACGCCCTCCCCGGCGATTATTTACTAGTGGCGGGCCCCCGGCCGAACTCAATCTGATTCTGTAGAGTCGGTTCTGGAGGCGTTTTTTGTTATGGCAGGAGTTTCTTTCCTGCCATCTATGGCAGATTCCCGGGCGCCGGAACTCACCTAATCCACCTAATCCATCGTTGTTGTTGTTGTTGCTGTTGTCTTCACATTAAAAACCATCCCGGTCTCTCTATCCAGTACCTCCTTCTGTCTCAATCTCTCCGTACTAATCCATCACTTGACTCGGCCAATTTCCGTGGTCACAGGCTAACGTACCTAGAAAAGGTATACCAAAATAAAATGGACCCCAAGGGTCAGCAGAGCGATAAAATACAAGAAAACAAAATATA